AGGAATCTTCTATTTTACTCCTAACTGTAAGTATTCTTCGTTCATTTTCCACTTAGTCTTGGATTTTCGAAGAAGGTGGCGGGAGGTGAAGGCTCCCAGTGAAATCAGATACGAATTGGGCGTTCTAGTGGGTTGGGACCTTCTCTCTGACGGCTAGTTGGCAGCACAGCTTACTTATGCCTTTCTCGATCAATGCATCTAATCAACTTACCCACCCTTTTTGGCCTATTGCCAAAGTTGTGTTACTCTGAATTATATGTTCAAGGTAATATATTAATAACGCATGGTATAGGTCTTTCTAAACATTTTGGCAGACTCTTAGAGAAAAATCGTCAATTTACACGAATTCGATCATGACCCGTCCAAGTTTCTGATCAAGAGCCGGTTTTCGAATTCATTAGTCTCAGTTTCTTCAGCGTTCCGATGTTTGACTTCCTAATATTTAAGAGCATAACTGGTTACATCCCTTCTCATTAGCGTTTGTCCAGCTTTCATATTCCCTCTTGTTTCAAATTCAACAAACCTATTTTCACTTGCTGAAAAATTTGGGTCCCTGACATTTTTTTTGTTCCAATTGTCGACGTGCTTTTTCGAACCTAGGCTCCTAAGACCTCTGACTGAATGGCTTCTGAATTCGTTACAGAAGCGATTTTTCAGGACTTTTACCAGGACGAAATTTGGACCCTTGAAGAAGCACTTTTAGCATTGGCGTGTCGAAAAGGATCAAATAGAGCGGAGGACCGAAGAACCATTTAAAGTACCCCAGTGCTGACAAGGATTCCCAATAAAGAGAGTGTCGGTAGCTTGGGGGCTGCTCCGAAGGTGGGCGGGCACCATGTCGAACAATACGAAGTTGAGCACGTTTGGGGTAAATATGATCAGCTGATTGTGCTAGAAGTCTCTTCCAGTCCTGTAGTTTTCTTACTAAGTTAGACGCGTTGCTGTGCAGGAAATCTCGTCCAAACACCGTGCACCCAAGAAGTGAACTAGATTGAATGAAGCGATATAGTTCAGAATTTGTTCGTGTGTTTGTTTCTTCTCAACTGACGCCATTGTATCGGCACTTTCAACCTTTAACGAAACAGCGGTACCTAAAATTATCGCGAAGGCTGCCTTTTATTTCATTCAGGTCTAAAATGATTGTTAGTCATGAATACTTTTGTAATAATTCATGCGCTAAGTTACACCACCCTTTTACCTATGCGCAGGAATGTTTTCTTTTCATCTGATTCATTCTGCCTAATTAATTGTGACCACTTTAGAAACAGGATCGACAATTTGACATTGAAAGACTGGGTCAAAAAGATTCTCCTTTGTAGTTGAATTATGCGTTTTCTTTGAAGGCGATGTGTTTGATAAGTGTATGTCCTGCTGACAGCTGAGGTCCTCCAGCCAGTGAATTCCTCCTCTTTAGTTGACAATCATCTCTGAAGCTTCGGAACCGGTCGTTGGAAGTTTTTTTTCCTTTTCTTTTTTTGATGGTAGCAGACGATACGCTCTTCGCAGTGCCTGAATTTAGTTCCCAAGCCGAGAAAATTTGGTGTTTTTCTTCGCTCTGACGATCTTTACCCTTTTGGATCCTCTACACATTTTCTTTGATATGCGATTTGTTTTCTCAGTACTGCTGCGAATATTTTCAGCTTCACTATAATCATTTTACCCCGAGTGGTGGCGCTTCGGAGCAATTGTCATTTATGAAAGGGATTTCCTCTTTGTTCTCTTTTCTCCCAGCCGTTCCTTAGAATACCCAGCTCCGGCTCCTTAGTTTCGAGATTAATTGGCTGCTCTAGATTTTGTGCAAATGAGGAATACTGTTCCTAACCTTAACTTCAGTCTTTAAACCATGGTTGTATGCCCAGCTCAAGTTCGCCCGAGATCATGGCTGGTAGTTAAAAGTGCAATGCCTATCAGAGAGAGAGAATCACCTAAAGCGCAACTTAGTTGAACCCCCACTCGACTTCCATTCAGAATCGTAGTGGCGTAATGAGTGCGTATGTGGCCTATACAATGACCTGCGGTGGTCAGCTAATGTCCATGTCAGTGCTTTTATCCTCCCAGACGAGTCTGGTATCGATTAACCGACTCGATGGGATGGAAGGTTTGGTTGGCCCAGGCGGATATCGCCTAACTTTATTACCACTTTTTTTGTGGTCAATCCCCTTTTCCTAGGTCAGTACAACCTATGGTGGTAGAACGAATGCATGAAGGTTCATTGATGCTGAATAGGGCTATGGAACCTTTATGAATCTCGAAAGGACGGGAATTAGGTGTTTCATGTGTTGTGATTTGTACTAATGCAGTAAATATTAGCTAGATCTTGCTAGTGACGTGTCCATCTATAGGCATGACTCAGACTGTTCGATATCTCAAATGCTACAAACATCAAAGTGATAAGAAGCTTTCGACGAGACGTTCGGGATATCCCACGCTTTTACGTGGTTTCCGGTTTCCCTTGTGTAAATACCCGATGATATCCAGTGAATTGGTTCCCAGTCGAAATCTCCTCTGCTTTGTAGGAGCTACTGGCCCAATTTAGTGCAAGCCATGGCAGTTTTATTCCGGTCTTATCACATGTATCGAGCGCCAGATGAGCCATTGACGCTGACGCAAACGTTTTTCAGCGCAATTCATATGCCAAAGATCAAAGACTGCCACACGCGGGCGTACCACTTGGTTTGGCTGATATGAAGGAGTCAACAGGTTTTAAGGGTCGCCCAAGAGTCCTTATCCAGTAGCAGCGGATGTTCGGGTCAGAACTTCTCGCATTCATTCTGTAGATTTAATATATTACTTCATCACTTGCTCACTTCCTCCTCTCCCACGCTCATAATCTCCCACGGAGGTCACCACCCACTCTTGATCCTGATCCTCATCGACCTTCAGCGCTTCTATCACTTTTTCTATTTCTGGTTTTCTGTCTGACCTTTCCTTAATCTTTACATTTGACTCTCTAAACCGCATTGAAAGGCTCGTCTACAGCTTGTCTCGTGATTGCTCTTACTCATGCATGAAGTATCGCGTTTCATCTTTTTTGTGAGCGGGTGGGAGACAAACATCGTCTGGGACAGTACGAGTTAAACCTCTTCAAGTTGCAGAGCCATACCGTTTTTCAACCTTTTTTCGCTTTCCTGCTTTCTCCCTCTGGCGAATATTGGGAATGGTAGCTATGGGAGTTTGTAGACAGTATCTTCAATTATTCAATCCAGGTTCTCTCCTTTTCTGGGATTTGGGTTTCCTGATGAGACTACTTTTCAGTACTGCCTGCTATTGTTCGTTTTTGGCGTGTCGTACGATTTCTGTGATAACGGTGTCGATTAGCTGAAGCAGCACTAGCACGTCCTTATTGCAGCACATTTCTTTCCCACACACGCATATACTGTCGACACAGCTCTGTCAAGGTATTACGGTGTGATCAATAATGACCGCTTCAAGTAACTCGTCCGAAAGCATTTCCTCAGTGGATGTTGAGAGTCATAAGGATGTGCATGATCATAGCCAAAAGGTGAGGTGAACTCGTGAACCGAACTACATAAATAAGGCGGTTTTCATTTGAGAGCCGCCAGTCTGCTATCCCACATGAGATGGCTTTAACTTGAATCTCAGAGGATGTTTGGGAGGTGTTCCACGGGACTTTTTTTTTCTTGTGCAAAGACTAGTGAGCGATAGTCGTTGTGCAAATGCAATTTGCAGCGGCTGGACTAGATTCGATGATCTTACTGTAAGAAACCTGTAATCGTAGACTATTAGAAAACAATTTTAAAAGGCTATTTATCAAATGTTTGACGGGTTTGACTGCAATATCGAAATAGATGATGTTGTAGGAATTTTATGAAGACTGTCGTCCTTTCGACCACTAGAAACTAAAATTGATTTCACTCCTGTGCAAGGAAAAGTCCGGGCTTTCTAGGATTCCTGCTGGTAATTGTTACTGGGCAAATGAATGGATAATTGCGAAGAAATAAGTTCAGTGATCACCCTTTCCTGTGACAAAAACAAGCGTAACCTTTCAAAGGATGGTCGAAAACAGGGGCATTTTGCTGGCGGTGGTGCGAAAAATGGGAAAAGATAGTCTAAGCAAGACCTCGTGGTACTCGAATGACATAGGCAAAGACCGTTTTCCGATGAATTGATGATTTCACATTCCAAAGGGTAATTAAATTGTCATAACAAATTATTGATTTATCGTTTCTATGTTTACATGTATGTCCCATTGGTGTAACGATTGCCCTTAAATACAAAATGATGTCATATGAATCAAGATTCCTTCAGAAAAGAAGTTTACAGAAAAAGAGGTTCCAGTGATGTTTTCGTCCTGAGAGAGAGTCGTCACGTCTGTTTCAGTGTAACTCTTACAGTTTCAATGATATCATATGACCAGTCCAAAAGATGACACCAGATTACATGGTGTCTCCATTTTTAGTTATTTAAAGCACAGGAGTAGATGTAGGATCATATCGGGAAATCTTTCACTCCTTTTCATCTTCCAACTATTTTTGAAACTGTTCTGTTCAGATGAAAATTAAGTTCATTTATTGGTCGTTCTCTAAGGGTTCAAGTTTCCGCGTAGGGATGACATTTTCCTTCACTGAGAGGATTCTCTATTATTATTTATTTATTTATTTACTTATCCATCAGAGAAGGAGAAACTTCTATTGGAGATTGTTAGTATTTCCTTCAGTAGTTCACCGGGAATTTTTTTTTGCATATTTTGAGACATTTTAGGAAAATAACTGCTTATTTTCCAAGTTGATCATGAGCATAGCCGGATATCGTTGAGGCTAAAGCTAAACTCATTACAAGTGTAATTAGTTGAAATTGAAGGCTCCCCCCACTTAGATATATTATATCAAAACGTAAGCAAAGCAGCATAATGGTTCCNAAAAAAAAAAAAATTTCAGGGTCGGCAAGCCGAGAAAGTACTATGGGCGGTTGCGGTCTTGTCGGCAGTCTTCATAGCCGCAGAATTTACTGGCGGCTTTTTTGCTTCTTCATTGGCGATTATGACCGACGCTGGTCATATGCTCTCGGACCTCTTATCGTTCGTCATCTCAATAGTCGCCATTCGTACAGCAAGGCAACCACGTTCGTTATTTACTAGTTCTTCAATTTTTTTCCTTAAACCGGTTGCCTATCCCTAGTTATTAGTAAATTGGTTATGGATGATGATATTTCTCGCAAAATCAGTCAAGGCGGCAATGAAACGAGAAAAAAGGCGGGACTTGAATAGAGTTTTGGTCGATTGCCGACATAAAAGAGGCGGAGTTTCGTTGCGGGTTTCGAGAGGCGCGTGAAGGGGCGGGGCTGGTACGATAATACGCTTGGGACGATGTTTTGAAGAGCGGGGCTTGTACAGATAATCCTGGAGTGCGTAGCTAATAATACTTTGTAGTTGTTTACATATTGTTTAACATAATGTGTGAATTATTTCAGCGAGTAAACGCCTCTCATGGGGATATGATCGAGCTGAAGTATTAGGGGCGATGATTTCGGTCATTATCCTATGGGTGTTGACAACGGTGCTTGTATTGTTGGCCATTGAACGAATTGTAAACAACAACCTCTGTAAGTGATTGTAAAAGCTATTAGTACTGTACCCATACTGTGTTACCGTAACGTTACCGTAATGTTCTGAAAATTTTAGCGGTAGACGCTGATGTGATGTTGATCACAGCCAGTGTTGGAGTTGGATTCAATGTTATTATGGGTATTGTATTACATTTTGGAAGTGGTGGACATGGACATACTCATGGAGGAGTCAGTCATGGGTAAGTATAGTTTACCTCACTTTTGGAAAGAGCTGTATCTTGACGGCGACTTACCATTTTTTGCCCCTGTTTGATACCGATTTTGATGACTTCTTGTTCTGAAACCAAGCTACATATCTACCCATTTAAATGTTTATAATCACAAGGTTAACGTTTTATGAACCAAATTTCAGTCTTAGACAGGACTCGAACCCGTACTTATGCTTTCCGGGCTCCGTACTCTATCCTTTACACTATCGAGACGACACGCTTGTCCTGTTTGTCGTTAGATGTTTATTATCAGTTTAGATGAAGAAATAATAGCCAAGGGGAATTTGTGGATGGGCCCCATAAGGCTGAGCTCCCCGTCTCGTGGGGATCCTCCTGACTGTGAAAGTCTGTGAAAGTCTTTCTCAGAGTCGTCGGCTAGGAATGTTTCACGGTTAAGCTGTGAGTGGGAAAGCTATCTGGGACAGAGACTCTGCATAGGAGGTTATTGGGGGCAGTACAAGCACAGGCAGCCATCATCCGTAGTGTTGACATCTTTTGGTCTGACTCTGACGCGTTGCCATGCGTCATTCCTGCCTACCTCCCCTCCTAACTTGCCTCTGAATATGGGCAAAGGCTCCCGGTTAAGTTCCTAAGGGGTGGGTGGGGGAACGAATGTTTAATTAATTAATTTATTTATTTATTTAATTACGTATGTCTGTGCGAAAAAAA